AGATATTACCTCAATAAAAATGCAGTTTGCATCATGAGCAGATAACCTTGGGGATAAGTAGATATTTTTGTTGACCTGTCTTGTATCACTTCTTACCTTGTGCTTCTTTTAAATCAGGTTCATTTTTTTCATTGTAATTTTTACTACTTTCTCAAACTATTTTTATGTATTTTTTTTGCTTATAATAATTTTTTGTCTAAGTCTTTTGTTTGTCTGCATTTTGCTTGTAATTACACTTTCAACACTGGGTTTTCTTCTTTTGAGTTTGGTTTTTTAAATTGACCCTTTTTATATCAGAAGTTAAGTTTTTGAAAAATATTTTATTGAATCACCTCTTATACATGGATCTGATTTTATTATCTTCTAAAGATAAGGCAGAACTGTTTGCACAGAATGTTTTTCTCTAGTTTATCTCTTGAATCTAACAATCATGTTCATCGCTAAGTTGTTACTCTGGGATGAACATGATCATTTTAATGTAACAACTATGCCTAACTATAGGTTAATCCAATGTTAGACATCCAAATTACTTTTGTATCTATTGTTAGCGTTTTTTCCTACTTGAGCCTTTTTACAACTTATTATCTTAACATAATTTTTCACAAAATGGCTCTCCAGAAAAATGGCTCTAAAAAATTTAAAAATATTTTTTTGCTGTATTTTTATATCTGGATAGTACTTGCCCCAACTCAAACTCTCAGTTGAGTTGTGTACTATAGCCCCTGCAGCTCTTTACACACACACACACACACACACACACACACACACACACACACACACACACACACACACACACATGTGTGTGTATATATACATACATACATACATACATACATACATACATACATACATACATACATACATACATACATACATACATACATACATACATACATATATATATATTCAAAAAAATTTTTATTTCACTATTGTTTTATTATATGGAACACATTTAGAGGGTGGGAGTAAACATTTTTTAAGAAAGTTATTTTTTGAAACACGCTAGTGTGTACCATGCAACCAACTTCACTAATAATGACAATATAATAATCTTGTATTTACAAAAATTGAAAGTCATTATTTCCTTTACACAGATATGAGTAAATATATATAATTATAAACATGCAAATGGAAATGTACTTTAATGTTACCCAAAAATATAAATTCTAAAAAATAAAAAATAACAGTTACAGCTCAGCTTTGTTCATGAAGTTTGTAGCAGCTCTCTCATATAGGTTACACATCAACTTGATTGAGTTTCAAAGATTTATATTTGATAGTCATTGCTGTGCAAGAAAGTTTTTTCATTATTTTGCATTTTTAGCTTTATTTGTGTAATTTTCAAAACCAATAGCTCACTAGTTTTTCTAATCGTGTAAAACAAAAATTGAAAATTTATAAAAATTCTGTGTAACTTAAAGTTAGTTTTAAAAATATTTCTGCTTTTTGCCTCTATTCTCTTCATTTTATGGTATTATTATGATTATGAATATTTACTATTTCAAATTTAGATACAAAACACTTGTGGTTCAATCAACAAAAAGTGGAATGGGAAAGACACTCTGTGTCAAAAAATGTGGGGATCATTTAGATTTATTTTACAAAGGGTTTTCTATGGCTGTAAAAAACACCTTTATGGTAACAATACCTGTTCATGGGACAACAGTGAATGTAAACAGTATTGTAGAAGCATTATTGGAATATGATCAAGTTTCTCATCTTTTCTCGACATTGTATCATTTTGATATTAACCCAATGGTACTTTATTTGTTAATCATAATTGTTTACTAAATTTATTTTTAATATACTTTATTATAATAATAGTTTTAAAAATGTATTCAAATTTATATAACCATTTATTTTTTTATTAAGAAATAGTTGTAACAAACAAAATTATAATTAAAAGAAAGTTATTTATTTGCATCTTATACAACTTATATTTTTATTTTTGATTTCTATCAAACGAATTTCGATTTTAAATAAAGAGATCCAAAATTTTTATTCATTATCATCATCATAATTGTCATCATTGTCATCATTGTCATCATTATCATCATCATCATCATCATCATCATCATCATCATCATCATCATCATCATCATCATCATCATCATCATCATCATCATCATCAGTCTTTAATATCTTGAATCTTCTTTCCAAAAAATATTTTGAAATTGAAACCTTTTCATGTTATCTACCTTTTGAATATATTGAATAAGTATTGTGTTTTGTATGTATTTTTTATAAATGTAAAATCATGTTTAATTTTAAGAATTGGAAAGGATTTAAATTGTTGTTAATACATAGTAATAATTTGCTCAATAAGTAAAAAAAATTTTTTTTTTAATCTAAGGTTAAAGAAGGATTAGATTCATTTCTTTTCAACTTGGTTATTCTGGGATCTTTAAAAACAAGTACAGGAAAACTTTGGAAGATTGATGATAAAGATACATGTATTATTGAAATTACCATTGATAATTCTGAAAGACAAGCTAATAATGTAAGTATTTATCCTTATTTTTGAGTTCCCACAAGTGTGGGTTAATTTAATTTAATTTTTTATTTTTTTAAATTGCACTAGTTTTGACGAATGTGTTAATGGGTTTTTAATAATCAAATACATATATAATCAAAAATATAAATATTGTTAATAAAACAATTTTGTTAAATACCATAACTCATGAGTTAGGATATTTAACAATGCCTTGTTGAGACATTTGTAACCAAAAATTCGTCATTCAGTAAAATTACCAAAGTAACTTTATATAGTTTATAATTACACTAGTAACTTTACACTTAATAATGGTTGCTTGCAGTCTTATTGGGAGTAAATTATCTACATACATATTTACATAATTATATACATACATAATTACATGCACACACAAATATATGTGTATATATATATACGTATATATATATATATATATATACGTATATACGTACATACGTATATATATATATATATATATATATATATATATATATATATATATATATATATATATATATATATATATATATATATGTATGTATATATATTTGTATGTATTTATATACATATATACACATGTATACATGTATATTTATATATATACACATACATATAAATAAATAAATAAATAAATAAATATATATATATATATATATATATATATATATATATATAAAATGCGGTAGTGGTATAGTGGTAGAGCGCTCGCTTCATAAACGAGTGGTTCCGAGTTCGATCCCCACCACGTCCCTGGTAGTACCGCACTCAACTCGTTTCTCCGCGCAGCGGCCTTGTTCGTCAAGGTTCGTGTTTCGGAGTTATAGAGTTGAGAGAGGGTTATAGCCACAAAATAAGTAGCCTCCTCGTCTGTAGTGGCCTTTTCGGAGGTGAAGTAAAATTTAAAAAAAAAAAATAATATATATATATATATATGTGTATATACATATTTATGTATACACATACATATATATATATATATATATATATATATATATATATATATATATATATATATATATATATATATATATATATATATATATATATATATATATATATATACACATATAAAGTAATAGAAAATCACTTAGCAAAAATTTTTTTCATTTAACACTGTGTTTCATCAATAAAGACTAATCAGTAACGCAGATTTATGAGATGTTTTTTTAAGAACATTGAGCTCTCTATTTTGTAGAATATATTTAAAAATTGTTTAAATATATATATATATATATATATATATATATATATATATATATATATATATATATATATATATATATATATATATATATATATACAATGAGCAAATCAACAATGTTTATAATGCATTTTTGGACCTTGTCTAGAAGAAAAAGACTATCATTTGAAGAACCAGTCCAAATATGACAACAATATTCTATAGAGGGAAGAACAAGAGATTTGTAGAGTTAGAGAATAGAATTGGATGTAAGAAAATGGAAGAAAAAATAAATAAAAAGTAAAAGCTTTGTAGAAATCATTGCATGGTTGGAATGACCTAAAAGAGAATAAGAAGAAACTTAACACGTGCTAAAGTTAGAGACAAAACACAAGTCAAGAAGTGAATGTAAGTGATAGGATTGTTTGGAAAACTTAATTCAATATCAGCAGGGTCAGTAGTGTTAGAGCCAAATTTATTTAGTGTGATGATCATTCAATTCACCAATAATAATGATATTAGCTGAATGATAATAAGAAAGGATATATAGGTGAATTGGTTTGTAAATATATAACCATGCCAGACATATGACTATTGGAGTCTTTGCAAATCAAAGGATAATACCCTGCAACACTAAGATTTAAAGATGAAGCATAAATTCAAAGAAATAGCAATGGAGTTCAAATTAGTTTTGATTCAATTGGTAAAAAGTTACTTTAAAGACTATGAATATTTGTAAATATTATATTAAAGTATAAACATTATACTAAAGATAATTTTTTGTTTAATATTTTTGATTTTGATAGAGCTTGTCACCCCAAGCAATGTGTTATGCAGTTGTCTCAGTCCTGCTAGTTAACCCAAAGTTGTAATAAGGGTTTCTTATGTGGCTTCAATAATGCATACCAAAAGCATTAACAGTGACACCATGTGCAACATGGCACTATTAGTAGTCTGATATTTTATTGATGGAATCAGCCTCTCTGAGACTGATTCCATCAATATTTGTTTTCCTTCAAATTTCAATCAAGTTAACAAGTTCAAAATCCTTACTACCAGCTGGCTTAAAATAATTCAACTGTATTTTAGAGCTGTGCCTCATTAGGAGATAACAGGAAGAGTTGCATAGCTGCTATCAAGTTGCACAAATAAAAATATAAGGATAGAGTCAAGAAGTTCCAGCATTCATCATCTTAGGCAGGAAACAATGTAGCACAGGTTTACATCTGTGTCAGTCTATTAGATGAAGAAGAGGTGTGAGCCTCTTCTTTATCTAATAGACTGGCACTTCTGAGAGCCTCAGAACTTTCTACTTAATTATTTTTTTCTTTTTCATATATATGGAGAGAGAGAGCTATATTTATATAGAGAGAAAGAGAGAGAAAATCATGACTTGATTAAAGAGTTAAGTCAAGTCAGAAAGATAGACTAGATGGTTAGACAGATATTGCACAGAAAGTACCATACACATAATTGGCTTAAGCTAGTTAATGCCCAAAATATATTAATTTATATCATAAGAAAGGTTGAAATTTTATATACATTTTTGTTTGTGGGTTTATAAAAACTCGTGAAGTATTATGCTTGTATTATTGACAAAAAAAGATACATAATACAATGTAACAAAATCTAGATATGAGACGTAGTTAAAATACGTCTTAAATATAGATATTTTTAACATTATGTTACGTTTCAGCTTACACATTTAAAAGATGCACTCTTTTAAGTTTAAATAAAATAATTGAGACGTAACTTTACGAATTGAAACTTTTTTTTGTGTGAAATTAGTTACAAAAAAGTAACTGATTAAGACGAATCTATTTACAATTAAAATAAACTATAATAGTTAGCCGTTTTTAAAAAAAATTTTTTGGTTAAAATTGTCTTGACAAAGGCATTGTTAAATACTGTAACTCATGAGTTATGGTATTTAACAAAATTGTTTTATTAACAATATTATTTATATTTTTAATTATATATGTATTTAATTATTGAAAACTCAATAACACGTTTGTCAAAACTATTGTAAATTAAAAAAAAAAAAAAAAAAAAATTAACCCACACTTATGGGTTAGTTTTTAAAAAAGATTTCTTAAAAGTAAATACAACTTTTAAAGCTTTAAACAAGTACAAAACCTTACAGTGTTACAGAGATTTGAGGCTCAACTTTACATCTCTGTAACATGTGTAGCAGTATTTGGTCCACAAAATACTTTTTTTAAAACATTCAAAAAATGTTTAAAAAATGTCTTTTTTGAACCAAAATTAAATATGTTCATGCTTAGGACAAATCAGAATGTTTTTCAATATATTTTGGCAATTGCTGTCTGAGAACAAAAATGCCTCTATGAGGGCAATGAGATAACAAATATTTAGTTTCAGTATTATATATTAAATTTATTTACAGTTTTTCAATTTCATCTAGTTATATTTTATTGTACAAGAGTTATGACAATAAATTATATAACCCCCTCCTTTTGTTCAAATATTGACCACTAGAAACTAGAAAAAATTTAATGTTCTTTCCCAGTTAGCTTGTTGTTTTTTTATAAGTTGTTGAAATAGGACAAAAATGATTCGTTTCAATTTTTGAATTAGAGGTGAATAATCAAGATTTGGTTTGATGTTTAAATTTTTGGTTTGCAGGGGCTTATTCCGTATGTACATAAAACCAAAAAAGTTATTTTAAAAAAATAATACAAATAAACATTCATGTAACAATAGTTCTTTAAAAACCTCTTTCTGTTCTAGATACATGCAAAAAACTGTCATATATAACTAAGAAAAATCAAGTTAAAACAAAAAAGATAAAAGAGGCAGGCCCATACATTTAGGGTGCACTGAAAATTCTTAAAACTATTTAGATTTATTGAAAAATAAAGCATCTAATTGATTTTGAATTAAAAAGTTTGATATTTTCATGCGCAATAGGGCAATTTGCTATCAAGTTAAATTTCTCAAGATATGGTTAAAAGAAAATGTGATTAATGTTCTTGCGCCACGGCCAGGCAGTTGCACAAAATTGAAAGCAGAAAATTTCAAAAAGAATGCAACCTCACTAGCAACCTCACTTTAAAAAAAGCCATAATGAAAGTGTGGTGTGATAAATTAGTTCCAAAATAATATAAGTTTTTTTTGCAAAGAATAAAGGCTGTTTTATAAGTTTTAAAATGCTGTTTTATAAGTTTTAAAAGGTTGTTTTATAAGTTTAAAAGTCTGTTTTATAAGCTTTATAAGGCTGCAAAGAATAAAGGCTGTTTTATAAGTTCAAGAAGCTTATCTAAAGTTTTAAAGCATGTTTTATACTTTGTAATTTGTTTATTCTTTTATATTTACCTATGTTATTTTTTAATTTAAATCAATTTCCACAGTAAAAAAATGTTATTTTATTATAAATTTTGGGTAGTTGGATCTATTTGTTCATAGCTATTTACACAGAAAGTGCACTGTAAAGAAAAGACTAATCAAAGATATTCAACTTATAAAGTTAAAAAAAAGTTTGCCAGACTAAATATACATAAGTATTTATAGATGTTATGCATATGTATTTAATATGAAAATATGTTAGTAAATTTTAAGATAGTTGTGTTACAGGGTCACTTTTATAATTAATACAAAATACAAAACTCTTTGTTTGTTACCGATTATGACTATTAAAGTTTACAAAATGCTATGTCATATAAATTAACTTGTCTTTTATTCATCAGTCCACCATGACTGCTCGTCTTGTCTGTATTTACACTTCGACATCTTTTTCATTCTCCACCCCTTTATATATTTATATATTTTTAAGGGTGATCTTGATTAGGTGATTTTTAAACAGCTA